GTTACTAGTAAACAAAAATTGAGATAGTCAATCAAGCTGAGTACCTCAATTATTACCTACAGTAGTGTTATTTAAGGCCTATTGTAATCAATCATTGTTAGTTCAATGTATAAGTTTGAAAATGTTGTTATAGAACGAAACTGCAGTAACGTTAGTTACAAATAAAAAAGATAAGAGAAGCAAAACGTACTCTTCGTATTTCTTTCCTCCCAAGTTTTATTCGCTATGTTCTTCTACACAGTAGAATTTTCAGATCGAGATTAGATTAGATAAGTAACGTTCCATGTATATTACAGAGTAGATGATGTGCATAATTATGAATAGCTTTCCTTCTTCCAGTGATAAGGATGACGAAAAAGATAATGTAATGAATGTTTTACTCAAAATGGCCACGGAAATATATTATCAGATTTTTATTGATTTTCTAGAGAAGCACTTGAAAATTAATAGAACTAATGGAATAATTCAGTCATAAAATGAAAATTTAAGTTATGAGCATATGTGTTTATTCAGCTCACTGAATTTCACTGGCGAAATTTGTAATTTATCATTTTCATGTACTTGTGATGCACTGTTTGGAACCATTGGTGTGGTAATGAATATTATAGTCCAATAAAATGAGGATTTAAATTACCATGCAAAAGGCAAGCCTGCATTTTTCAATATAGGTTGATTTTAGCATATATTCAAAGGACTTATTGTTAAAAAATGTTGAATTTCATTTAGGGGATAGAAAATGAATAAAAACTACCCCAAAAATCCCTTTTTTAAATATATCTCGAAAGCATGAAAATATATGAAAAAAAGGTCGAAACAAAAAATGTAGGCAATACAATTTTCTATAAAATCGTTACTGATCACTTTTGACGTATTTGCAATAGAAACCGAGATATTTGCAATAATCAATTTATACTTATAGTTCAGACGGGCTGCAGTAGAGCGGCTATATCTCTCCAGCACTACGAAATAGATTAAATGTTGTCGGTGTTTCCCAGGTGCACATATGAATGAATGCGAGTTATATTTATTTTCATTCCCGGAAGTGTTTGCATCCATTTCATTACAGTGTTTTTTTTGCATTTCATTGAAGAACCTGTGAAAAGTGAAAATGGAACTTGAATTGTGCTCAATTTGTGAATTGCCTCTTGAAAGTGATTGTGACACAATTGCAACTGTGAAAAAAAAGGTTTAAAGACATTAATAGACAAAAGTAAAGTGAAAAATTACCTGAAATATAAAGTGTGGAAAGGTTTGTATATACTGTATATTATTTTATGTTTCACTCTACGATAACAGAACCTAACAGTAAAATGTTTTTATTGCAAGAAATGATTTATAAGAACATAATGAATTATTCATCTTATTCATTGTTATGTAAAAAAATTGAATAATTTATTATACACATGTGTCTCAAAAATATTATCGAAAATAAATTTGTATTCTTCAATCTGTGAAATATATACAGTGTGTAAAAGCCAAATGGAATAAATTCATTATTACGGTTACAGTACATATTAAAAAAATCCCGGAAGACGTCAAATGTAAATTATAATTTGACATTCTTCTACTTAAAATTGTCACCCCTACCTTCAGCCCCCTTCGAATGACAGGTACAACCCCCAATTTTTTGATGTTATCGCTTTAAAATACACTCAAAAACTAAATGTAATGCAAAACGAAATTGAATGTAGAATATGAAAATGAATTATGGATGTTAACGAAGTTAACCGCAAACCTCTTGGAAACATCCTAATCTCAAATAAAACTGTCTTCTAACATTATTCAACATATCAGGCATGACCGACCTAATCGCAAGCGTTATTCGTTCTATTGGGTCATTAAAATCTGAAGGTATAGTTTCGTACACATTGCCCTTCACATATTCCCATACAAAAAATCTAATGATGAAAGATCAGGTGATCAAGCTGGCCATTCAATTGATCCTCGCCTCCATGCTCCATCCTGCTAAAACCATATCGTATTCACTGGAACTAGAGGGTTTCCTGGATCAGGATATGAATTGGCTAAACTTGGAATGACATTATTTTGAGTTTCAAATGATTATCGCCCTTCAAGTTGCCCTCAATGAAAAAGGGATCAATGATATGGTTTCCTACAATCCCTGCCCAAACATTGACCTTTTGAGGGTATTGCGTGTGTTCTTTTCTCATCTAGTGATGATTTTCCGTTGATCAGTAGTGGCAATTTTGCCGATTAGCATGACCATTAAGAGAAAAGTACACTCATCAGACAACATAACGTCTTAACTAGAGATGATGAAGAGCTTTCTAAAAAAGCTTTTGAATACGAATTAGCGTATTCAAAAGCAAATTTTCACTATCATAATTCGATTCTGCAGGCTTCATGAGGAAGACCCAAAAGTCAGATTTGTTTACTGTTTTCAAAACCAGTCTTGAAAGTGATAAATTGTTATTATCTTTTTCATTCGTCGTTGATGGGGGGTTTTTACTCCACCAAGTCACCTGGCCTCATGGTAAAACATACTTGGAATTATTTCAATCTTATCGTCAATACATTGTTACTCATTTTACTAGTAATGCAGTGGTTGTATGGATACAGCAGTGATCAATTTGGTGTCAAGTCTTACGAAAGATATCGAAAACAAGAGAAAAATGTTGCTGCAGATGTAGATTTTGACAAAAATANAAAACCATGTGTCACAAAAAGTAACAAATTGTTGTTTTTGTTTTGTTTTGGTAGCATTTAAAAAATATAAATTGTAGAAATTAATTTGATCAAAACAAATTGTTTTCTAAATAAATATGAATTAAAAACATAGTTTTTATTCAGAATATCAAAAAAATAGAAATTATGATTTAAAAAAATCATTCCTCAATATTCATATTTAGTAGCAAACAAAATTGTGAATCAACAAATGCGTTTTTAAGCAATAATTTTTTTTGAGAAATGATTTTGTTTTTAAAAATCATAGTATTCATTATTGATAAAAATCCCCTCTGAAAAATTTCAATATATCTCAAACAATACAATTATTGTTTATACCAATTTTGCAAACAAATAGAGCTAAAAGTGGCGTAAAAACCATTTTTATGTAACTCTCAATAATAAGAATGTAAACAAATTCGAATATAAAGAAAACTTTTTCATTGCTTCAATTGAATTTTGCACTTTTTACTGTCTTTAATTATTAATAACATAATTATTAATAACATAAATAATTTAAAAATTATCGAGGTTTTTATGTAAATTCAAAACTTTTAAAAATCAGTTAATTAACCAAAGTATATCTAATAAAATAATCACCAGAAAAATTTTTTCCATGGATTTTCGTTCTTTCAAGTGTCTTTAAGGTATGTGAAGTTGTTTTTCTCAATGATGATATTTAATGAGTTGAAATAATTTTTATTGTTCAAAGGTCCATATCGGTCAGCGCGTACGGGACGCGCATTGCCCACTTTTAGAGCTATTTTCGCTTCTTAATTGAAATTATAAATGTTGGTGATAGAGTTTGGGGAGGTTGTTTTTTCAGTAATTTTTTTCCACTTCAAAGGTCTTTTTTCTAATTTCGGATATCTTTAATATTTTCAGAGATATTTGCAAAAAACCAAACTCCGCTTTTTTTTACTAAATTTTTACTTTAGCAATTTTTTGAGCCTCTCTGGAAATTTTTCATAAAGTTACTAGGGGTCATTCTGAATCGAATGAGCATTTGATCATAATTTTCGGTGCCCTTGGACAGAAGTTCCAAAAAAAGATCTTGTAACCCAAACCCAGCAAAAAGCTGGACTGCCCCGCGAAAATCGGGAAGTGTGAAGTGTGGTCACTCTCCCAAACACCCAAATACAATGATTCATTTCACAATCTATAACATCGATCTATTACGTTACGCTTGCTCGGTGAATGTCTCATAATACCTGTTGCCAGACAGAATTAGCCTCTGTACTGCAGTCCGTCTGAACTATAGGTATTAATTGATTATTGCAAATATCTCGGTTTCTATTGCAAATACGTCAAAAGTGATCAGAAACGATTTTATAGAAAATTTTATTGCCTACATTTTCTGTTTCGACCTTTTTTTCATATATTTTTATGCTTTCGAGATATATTCAAAAAAGGGATTTTTGGGGTAGTTTTTATTCATTTTCTATCCCCTAAATGAAATTCAACAATTTTTAACTATTAATCCGTTGAATGTATGCCAAAATCAACTTATATTGAAAAATGCAGGCTTGCCTTTTGCATGGTAATTTAAATCCTTATTTTATTGGACTATTACTGGAGTTTTTCCCAACACCAAACCGTTATTTTAATACCTCGACACGTGTTTCGATCACCATGTAATCATCTACAAGTGTTAAAATAACGGTTTGGTGTTGGAAAAAACCTCCAGTAATATTTATCATTTTCATATTGTATTAAAATGAAAAAATAAATACCAAATAAGTTTTATTATTCAATTGAATACATTGCAAAAAGCCATACAGATGTTTGAAAAAAAAATAAGACATGTTATAATCGAATAATATTATAGTGAAAAGTTTTAATGCTTAATTACTATGAGAACAAAATATAATGAATTATTTATGTATACGATTTATTGAGGTGAAATCTAAAATCATTATAAAGTTACGAGCAACCCCGTAGAAAGAAATAGGGCGAAGGGAGTTGATGCGTCGATCTTTCAGCTCTTCCGACGTGAACTTCCCGACAAAAAAGGGTTCCGTAACAAAAGAATAAATTTAGGGTGTCAAAGTCATCGACCTCGCTTGTTTTTCTGCATCTGCCTCGTATATAGAACCAATTAGTCAATTCACGAAGACAGTTTACGACACAAAAAGCCTACTTGAGCCCAGTTTTCGTTGCAGAGTAAGTTCAAGCGAAAATGTACCTGTTCATACGCATATCGAACCGCATCCCGTCCGTCGCGATGCTTTGCGCCGCCAAGCGACGCCTTTTCGAACTCCCAAGGTAGGGAGTCAACCCCCAACATTACAACGTGCTAGTTAGCGTGGCAGTGGTGCAATATGTGATTCGTTTTATAGAAATATATTGGTTTTTTATCTAGTGACATTAGACAATTATTCATAACCGTACAAAAACGTTTTTTATAATGTTACAGCAAGAGCTAACGAAAAATATCGTTGTTTACATAGAAGAAACCTCGTGTTCGGGGGTGATAATGTGCCACTTGCGTGATAAATAGCTCACCTAACATGCAAGACAATAACAAAGAGGGTGATAGGCCAAAAATTGCACCGAAACCTACCATACCCTCGAAACCACGATTCGTCCCACCTGTAAAAATACAACAGAGAACTATTCAAGATGGAAAATCTCCCAATAGCAACATTCCTCAACGAACAACTATCAGTGAGCCTAGAGTATTTAAAGAATTTTCTAGTACGAGGGACTTTCGAAGTGTTTCCCAAACCCAGGAAAAAATCGACTACAGGGAGGTGTACACCTCAGAAAAAAGCAGTTATATTAGTGAAACTAAACAACTCGGTATTGATACTAACGTAAAATACGACGAATACTCGTCAACATATATTAGCGAAAAATGTGATAAACTTAGTACTAATTTTGAATGTAAGAAATTAGAAGATATACCCATCAAAACACCCCATTCCCCAAGTACGGTTTGCTGCAGCATCCTGTCCAACGCTACCACAGACTGCTGCGGGATGATAAATCTAAATAAAAAAGAATTGGCTGAAAAAACGATGACAAAAATAGATTCTCTAGACTCGAATTCGTCCGATTCTGGAGGTTTCAAGGATTTTGTTCAATTCGATATCAACAAGAAATTATCACCAGAAAAAGATATGAAACTGGAATCACACCAAACGCACATGAGGAAAGTATCTCAACCAGAGTATATCCAAAAGAAGATACCAGACAGCAAGCCTTATTGCCATCAAAGAATGCCATCGCAACCCGACTACATGTCTGCCGAAGTTAGACAATCTTTTGCACAAAATAAAAGCAACTACGTAGCCAACGCACAAGCCTTAGCGCAATTTTTGCCGCAGACTGAACAGAAGTTGCTTCAGCACAAACAGCAGCAGCAGCTGAACAAGGAACGAGCAGAAGAAGATTTTCGTCAGCAGATAGCCAAGTTCAGTGTAACCCCTAATCAGTCGACAGATGAATCGAAGAAACCTCCGAAACCTGTTATGAAACATGGTCAATTCCAAGAATCAACGAAAAAAATTGAAGAACTTCTGTCGCAGAGATTGGAGAAAGATAAAATTTTGAAGAGAGGCCAGAGCTGTTTGGTTGAGGGAGAATCAAGCCAAGATGTTGAACAGAAGATGATGGTTCAGAAACAAATACAGCAGAAATTACAAGCCGATCTACAACAAACAGTTAAACATATTCAGGAGATACAGAGCATTGAACTGCGGCTGCCACAGAATCGGAAATGGACTGAGGTTTGTTGTTACATTAACTTTTCAGATACATATACATGAATAGATATTAGTATACAGATAGCAAGTACTTATACAGGGTGTATCAATTATGTGTAGGTGGACGATAGTTGCTTCCCTATTTGAGGTAGACAAAGATGTCTCAAATTAAAGTTGTAGAGAGTAATTAAAGTTATATGTTTGAAAATAATCATCTATATACAGAGTGTTCAGTGAATGTGTAATTAACCAAAGTTGTGTTTTTTTCAAATAGAACACACACTAGGGTTGTTCACGTTTACATCGGATTCATTTCACAAAATGGGTTCATTCAACACTCAGTATTTTTTCAACCAATTTTTCAACCAAATATAATATAGTTTAATTTTTTATTCATAATTTCACCGTTTTTTGGATAGAACACGGAAATAAGGCCATAAAAGAATAGTCCATACCACTTTCCTATACTTGAACAAAGTATGAAAAGGTCATTAAATCAAAGCAATAACGATTTTTTATTCAATGCTAGGAATAAAATGAACTCAAATAATTTTAAAAAGCATTAGCCTACAAGAAATGTTATACAGGTTTGCATTTTGAACTATCTGTTCAAATTAAATTTACCTTCAATTTCTGTTCGAACAGTTAATGTTTATCTTGTAATAGACCTCTCTGGTTCCATTTATTTTTCAGGGTCATTGGTTTCTCATAGTAGACCCATTCCTTGACATATCTCTAAATAACATGAATCTAAGGGAATGAGGATGGGGTATATTGCAATTTCCCTTGTCCGACCCTTCTTCAAATATTGGGAGAATGATTGTGTTATGAAGTTTTAAGCTGTCTTCCTTACGGTTGAAATTACTCTTACGTTTATGTATTTCTATGGCCTCACTAAAAAGCCTTGGATAATACCCTCCTATTTTATCAAGAACTTGCGTGCGTTCAATGGCAATACCATGGCTGCTCTCTGCGATAGCGTATTCTACAACTGCCGATTCATCGGTTTGGCCATAGCGGCAACTTTTTCTATGCTCAGTCAATGGCGTTTAAACGCTACTTCTCGTGGTTCCGATGTAGAACGGACCACAACTACACGGTATTTGGTATACTTCTGAGGTACTTATTAGATCCTTGGGGTCTTTTGCTATTACCTATCATTCTTGTGGGCTTGAAAATGGCCCCACTTTCATGTTCTTCGGAGATTCTTTGAATTCGGTTCGTCACACCATTGGTCATACGCTCCACCGTGGAGTGTTTCTGTATGGGTCCTGAGACTCAGTTGATTTCGGCCCCGTTATATCCATTACCAAGAAAGTCATTCTTCAGATGACACATTTTCTCTTGTAGCCCTTCCGGTTAATAACCCCTATTTTCTGACGAAAATGATGATTCAGTGCTTGTTCAAATATCGGTCCGTATGAGTTTCTCTCCGTTCCTATTCTTTCTCCATTCTGAACTGTATTTTCAGGTTCTGAGAATTCAAATATCTCAAGATTCTTGCCAATTCCTCTTTCCCATGACTATAAATTACGAAGATATCATCAACATATCGTAGCCAGCAGAAAGGACGGATCGGCGCGACGCCGTGAATGTTCTCGTCAGTTCTACTTGCAATTACTTTCTCGTCAGTTCTACTTGCAATTACTAGACTTAGTGGACTACCCATTGCAACTCCTTTCTTCAGTTCATATAATTTTTCATTAAAGATATGTTGATGTTAAGTAATGTTCAAATAAGGCTGTGTAGAAAAAAGAACCCGCTGATCAGATGCAAGGTTCCATTAATCGGAACCATTGTGAATAGACATATGACATCAAAACTGACCAACACGTCAATAGGATTCGCTTTCAAATCTGGAATCTTTTCAATAAAATGAGCCGAGTTTCTAACGAATGAGTTTTGCCTTCACTAGTGACTGTAGCAGACCCGATAAGTTCTTGGCGATCTCATACGTTGAAACCCTATAGCAATGAATTTTCGGTAGCGAGGTGGTAGTGGCCCGGTTCTCCGTAACCCTTACTTCACATTCTTCGCACTTCGACCATTGTGCATCGCCTTTAATACTGTCTGCTGCAGTAGCAGACTAAACGTCGGGTATAAAAACCTGCAGATCGTGGCTAATGAACTCAGAAACATCAGACAATTTGTTAGACACCGGCTGTGAAACCCTACACATCATGTTATATGGTTCATTTCACGAAGAGGTCAACCTTTGAGCCTCCTCCTTCGCTAACGAAACCACTGGATGCAGGGTGTTCACTGTTTATATACAGTGTTATTCAAATACGAATTTTTGCATGGGGATTTCGTAAACGATCAGAATGATTCCGAATAATCTACTTTGGTTCCGGAATTATAACAAAAAATCAAAACATAACATTCATGATCAAATACCATGTAGTGCTATTCCGACCTGCCTTAGATCTCATTAGTGGTTCTAGGTTGAACCAAGAATGCATTGTTGTAATCAACTGTTCCGAAAGGACAATCCTTCTTCTTGCGAAGAAGACTTCTATAAGATCGGAAGAAAACTCAAATGTTGCTTATCCAAGATGAAAAATGGCATCCAAGGCGGTCTGTTGCAAATCTACAATTGCCAAATGATAAATCGGTCTCTGTTTTCCTCTGTGGCTTTCTCTTCAGATTTCTCTGGTAGGCAACTAGAGTTCGAAGACGGTCGAAATGGACGCTTGGTTATGCAAAAGACCACCATGAAGTTTTTTTGTTTTCGACAGGCAAGGTTAGAGTTTTTTGTCGATTCCATAGATGGTGTCATCGTACGCTTACCCAGTTGAGTCTAGTAACACATTTGTGATTCAGCCTAACACCACTGATGAAACCTGGGGCACGTCGTAACAGCGCTGTCTGGTACTGGGAATATTAATGCTTTGTTCTTAGGTCCCGGTTTCAACTTTTGAGAAATATGGAAAAATAAGGCGATGTTCAAGAAACATATCCTGCTGTATTCAATTCATTATGTGAATGGATTGATTTAAATATTTCGTAGTGTAATACTTTCTGGAAAATGTCCAATGTTATTTGGAGAATTCTCTAAAATACTAGCTACTGCCAATAATCTGAGTTTACTTCTCAAGTGTTTTCGGAACTACGAACTTTCCAGAACTTTTTACTTGTGGTTCTCGAGGTTTACTAGCTGATCATTGGCGAAATAGTAACTAAGAAATCCACATGTATATTTTAATATGAAATCATAAGAGTCGAAGTACCAAACAAGGCGGAGAATGACTACTTTTTCTCAAATTTTGGCCACATAGCATGTTAGAGAAATTGGTCTGTAGCTTGATTCTAGAACAACTTTTAAGCACAAATGGAATTCTAGAAAATCGAAGACTGGGGTTATAATATAGTAGTAACAATTTCCCCAATTAGTTGCGTCAGAATCAAGGAAAAGAATCATATAAGGGATTATAAAGACCAATTTAAGGAGGGGGCCAGTTGCGAATCAAGCTTTTAGCGGATTATTTATTATGGTGACGGCGCCAGGAAAGAACAGTTGAATATAATAAAACAAAGCGATAATAGCTACTTGACGAAGTAATCTATTGTTAATTTCATCAGTTAAGTATAAAAGTTGATATTGCTCTTCAAAAGTCTGAGTATTAGGTGGGTATTATTTTTATAATGAATACTACTTTCGGCTAATGCAATTAAGAGTTATTTTGGCGTGAAACATGGTTCTTCTAGTCGACAACATCATTATCTTCAATAGTTTTGCAATGGAAGCCGAATAATGACTGTAATTTTTTGAACTCGAGTTACACCATAGCAATGTTTTTGAAAATAAAATATAGTTCATGCTACTCGCTGATATTGCTGCTTTTTCCATAGATTTAAGAATGTTTTAAATGTATTAGGTAGTTCTGGAGTTTATTCATTACAAACAAACATACTAAAAATCAAATCTTTTCATAATACTAGTTTAGAAAATCATCAATAATTAATGAGTAACATATTGGTGGAAAAACTCATGGCACAATATTATTATATAATTTTCATCAACAAGTATTGATAAAAAAAGGAAGATGACTCGCTAAATTGATTTGACATCATGAAATAAACTTTGAAAAACGTTTTTTTGAAGCCTTTTTAGTTCTTGTACGATCACAAGAAGGCACTCGGGCAACTTTTGGCTACCTCCTTGCTTGTTATTCAGAATCTGATTATTGGGAACCATCGTTCATAAATCTGGAACCTTTAATCCAGATGAAATGTAGAAATGGTAATATATACCTTTTAATTCAATATTTGGTGATAAAATTTCTCTACCTGCTGTCTTCAAAGTTCATTTTGGATGATGGAGAATACTCACATGGTTGCGGCCAAATTCGTGCTATGGTAATATTAATATTATGATATTCTTTTTTGGGAAAGAAAGTTTTTGGCTTTCTACTACTCCATCTTGATACAAAAAAAAGGGATGAGGGAATCTTCCAAAGAAAGGAAGGAAGTAATCAATTTGATAATAAGTAACTCTATACATGGATGTGTAGATCATGCAAAGAAGTAACTTTCAGATACAAACTGAACGAAAATCCTTCTGAAACAGCTACTTATGATTATTTTCTTCAAACCGATAACATTTTGAAAGAATTGAAGGCTAGGCCACCGAAACAGAGTTTTACTGAGGTAAAATGCTTTTTTCCAACAGTAATAAAACTGACAACTATAAAATCAACATCATGCTGTCATTATTCTTGAATTATAGTTGCCTAGTTATGCATATCAATCACTGTCACTGTCCTGATCGAATTGAACCAATGTAATCAAATATTTGAATATAATTTTTACTGAATATTGAAACTCTACATGAATGCTTCTACAGAAATTCACAGTTTCAATTTGATATTATGATTATAACAACAACTAGAACCTTATCTCTACTGAAACAACCGAAATGAATATGTAAATCAAATAAAACTCACAAATACGATAAACAGATAGAAGAGACCTAAATGAAAAATGAATTGACACACTTATTATTCTGAATTTCACTGAAATCGAAAAGAATACAAGACGTGTTGGTGATGCATCTAGCGTCAAGTAATTTGGCCATTATTGACAATTACGAGTTGACTCATTAATCTGTTTATATATTCAAAAATTGTACTTTCAAACAAATGTTCTAACTTAAATTTCTTGCTATTCATATATTTCATTTGAGAACTGATATTTTATTCTTATATCTTTTCATTTAGCTGAGAAAATTTCAGGAGATAATCTTTTCGAATACCACTCGACCTGAAAATTTTCTCAGATAAATATAATTTTTTTTAACCCAAACTTTATTATTTTTCAGCAATACCAATCTAGCAACCATGACGTTTGCTCTCATGGTATTGCTGAATAACAAAGTTTTCTTTAAAAAATGGATATTTATCAATAAGATTTTTTGTTTTTGTGGTATCACTATAAAATTATGACATTCAGGGGGTTTGGAAAAGCATTTGATAATTCAGTTATGTAGGTGTATGAAAAACGGGCGACGCGAAGGGTCTAAGAAAAAACATTATTTTCCTAGTGGACGAGAAGTATACAATACCTTAGATAATTAGTGGTTTCAACTTGATATGAGGGGCTATCCTTCTATTCGTTCTGCAATATTGTTAATATTGCAGAACGCAATATTGTTAACATTGCAGAACGCAGCCGAGGTTTTCAGTGTCACTATTTTTCGGGTTTGAAGGCCGTGAATTTTCTTTTTGACTTTTCGCTGATGCGAGTAGCTAGCTTCTACAGAGGTTTATCCTTACTGAGTTAATATCTCCGATGACTAGATATTACAGCTGCGTAACGCTTATTTATGCTGCGTCATTTTTTAAGTTTCGGAAGGAAATTGCTATAATTATTGTGAGCCGATCATTTATATTGACTCAGGTGGTTTGGTGTGCCTAGATTAGCTAAATTCTGACAAGCGTGTTTGCCAGAGCAGTGATTGGAGCAATTGTCTGGTGGCCAATGGCTTTACAGAAAACGGCTCAGGCAAAGATTTCTGGCTTACAGAGACAGACTTGTCTGACTATCTGTGGTGCCATCAGGCCATGGAGATTCTTTTAGAACTACCTCCTCTCCACATTTTTCTGTGCCAATTGCACAAAACAATCTAATGCAGAGTACACTAGACTTCTGGCCGACACTGGAGTCACAGCATTCTGGGCATGACCTCTGACATCATGCCTCCAACTGTCAACTACGAACTGCCTTATACATACAGTACTTTTCCTAACTAGAAAGGATTGAATCATCCGAGATTAGGAAATATTGTGATCAGATACTTGTTGGTTCATAGGTGGATCAAAAAAACCTTCAGGCTCTGGTAAAGGGTTTTCAGTTGCAGACCCAAGACAGAGATAGCAACCTACCTAGGGACCTATGCGGCTGTATTTTAAGCGGAAATCTATGCTATTGAATTGTGTGCGGAAAGATTGGTAGAACCCAACCTCACACACAAGTCTATAAAAATCTGCATTGGAAGGCCTTGACTTTTACCGAGCAACATCTAACTTGGTAGCAAATTGCCAAAAACGGCTCTCCTCAATAGGAATACTTAATTGTTACTGGTCTGAATTCTGGCCACACTGGCCTGGAAGGCAATGAAGCTGCTGACTCCCTTGCAAAGGAGGGTGTTGCAAGTAGCTTCATCGGACTAGAACATGTCATTGGCATTGCTTTAGGTTTTGCCGAACAAACATTGAACACCTGGATGGCAGGAAGATTTGAAGACTTCTGGCAAAATCTTCCAGGATTGGCTCACTCCAAGGCGTTCATTTACTCTTCGAAGCTTGAAACCAAACAGTTGTTGGACTACAGTAAGGATGAACTACGATGTCTAACAGGCCTTCTTACAGGTCACTGTCGTCTGAATCATCATATGCAGAGAATCGGACTGTCGTCCGATTATGAAACAGCAGAACATATATTTTGTGCCTTTTCCGCTGCGAACCGAAGCAGATTTTCAGAGTTTGGTAGAACCACACTTTCACCATCTGACCTAAAAGATCACTCACCATATGAAATTATCGACTTCGTCAAGAATCTGGGTTTATTTGGTCGAGTCTAAATAGGTGGGAGCCACAATAAACCTCTGCAGGTTGACCTAACCTAATCTACTGCTGTTATGCTGTTTGCTATTTTCGAACTACTTAGAGTGGGATTTCATGTTCGATTAGGGTTCACAGCTTCTTCATCTCAGTTTAAATTATCCGTGTTTTTGTGGATCTTTATTGCCTCCCGTACCAGTTGGCTATGGTATCCCTGGTTGAGGGCGATGAGTTCCGTATTTTCAAACACAGTCATTGTGGCTTCCATCCAGAAAAGAACCATCCGCCTGATTGCAATATCATTTGCAACCTTGATAGTCCGAAACATCGAAGAAAGGTTGGAGATTCGTCTCTCTTCTATAGATACTTTCACATAATTTGTTCAAGTGACTTGGCACATTTCATTACACCAAGAGGGGTACATATCATAAATAAGCGACAGAATGTAGCTGCGCATTGATTTGAGGTTCAACTCAGTACACCTCGAACTTCACTGCTTAAAAACTCTTTCATTTGAGAACTGCTTTTATATGGAATAAACTTCTTGATAACGTTTTTCCAAATAAATTTAATCTCCAGTGATTTAAATCCAATGTAAATCGCTACTTCCGCACAGGCACCGCCTTAAGGATTTTCCTGTAGTACTTGTGTTTTATCCTCAAAAAAAAACTACCTGGGTCAACATAAATACGCGTAACGCAGCCGTAATATCCAGTCAATGGAGATTATGTCAGGATGTATAAACCTCTGAAGAAGCTAGACACTCGCGCCACAGCGAAATATCAGGAAGAAATTTAAAGAATCCACGGCTATCAATCCCAAAAAATAGTGACACTGATTGTCAAGGTGAATTTTAACTATAAACGAATTTGTTAGCCGTGTTGTAATATCGATTTAGCTACTTGGGAAATGAGCTTGTGACAGAAATGTATTGTGTTGGATTGGGCATTGAAAGCCTTTCACAATGAAGTGTCACTCGACCTAATTCTTATATAAAAAATGGGGATGACTTACACGCATGAAAATTTTACAATGTTTATTCATTGAAAGTTGTCTCTATTTTAAACAAATTTGACAAAAACATTTAAAAAAAGTTCTTCCGTGGTAGTTCTGCTTTGCGGTATTTTTTCGATGGTCTACGCTGTATTTGTTATAGAAAAGAAATTTTTCGAATTGTGAGTTATCCTTCAAATTGAAATTTCGAATAAGAAATGCAAATTTGTTAATTGAAAAGGACATGTCTACAGGACGGCACACTATATTTAGTTATATTTTGTTATCACCAAATATTCAATTATTTCTTCTTCGCCTAGCCCTTGGTCTAGCTGCATACTGGAACTTTATTCGAACAACTTTTCAATCACAAAAATTGAACAAAATATTTCTTATGGACGATAACTCTTTATGATAATTAATTAATTTCAAAAAACCAAATTTTACATATTGAATCGCTAGATTACTTAGTCGCCGAGACTTCAAAAGTTATCAGTGCGTGCGCGACCAGTCCTAATGAATTGGTCAGTCCAATCTTTCACCATTTATCACAAAATAAATCGTTGCAGTATGGATTATTCACATATAATTCCATCCATCCTGTGATCAATTTGTTGAATATTTTCAATTCGCGTTTTCCGTTGTACTAGTTTTGATCCAAGATAGAGTTCTAGTAAATTAGAAAGCATAATACTTACTCTTTGACTCATTATTTATGCCTTAGTCTAACGTTAGTCCCCCTTTTTAATTTTTGACCTCAAAACTCTACATATGCCATTATGCAACTGATAGAGAAATGTTGAATATTAGGGGAATAAATGCAAAATCCTTCAAATATCGATCAACTTAATAACATTTTAGGTTTCAAAAATATTGTAAAAAATTTGAAAAAATGCTGGTGATTGCTTTCTGCTTGTTACCTGTAAGAAAAATTATATCCGATATAACATCTCACTCTTCATTTCCAGAGCAATAGGAGCCAACCTGCCATAGGTTTGAAACATACCCCGAAATCAAGGGTAAGTTGTTTTTTTTGTTTCTGAGAGAAAAAAATCGCTTTTTACGTTGTATGGCGAAGAGTATCGAATGGTAATATTTGAAAATAGATAAACAAGGTAATTTCTAACTGCGCTGAAAAAAATATAAGGGCTTGTCCAGGAGCTGAGCTCATGAAAAAAAGTTCACGTAAACATAGGTCCGGAAATTCATTATTTCCGGACCTATGTGGGTGTTGAACATAAATGAAAAAATATTTTTCTGTATTGACAATATTATAATTTATAATATTATTAATATTGTATTGATAGCCCTTCTGAGGAACATTGTGATTTTGTTCAATGAACTAAAATTTTTATCATTAACATTATTATTATTGTAATATTATTATTATTATTATTATATTATTATTATCGATGGAATTTGTTAGTGATAAAAGGTTCATTTTGCCTTGATTAGATATAAATTATTGATTCCACTGGCGGTTCGGGATACAGTTTGACAAAAAAATGTACGCCATGTAAAATTGAATTTTGTGTTAAGTAAACTCAAAAATAAAACTCATTTATTCCAAGATTTGTATTCGTAACTTGATTTGTTTCTCAACAACAACTAGTGTGCATTAAAAAAGTACAACTAAGTCTTTGCGATATTTGCCGTTTGTCAAGGTATTGTTATGCGACAATGAACATTTACAATATTAATACAAAAAAAGGATCTCGCACAAATCTTGTGGGTTTCTGGTCCCTGGTGGATTTGAAAGCATTTTGATATTGTACTTTCTATCTTCCTGATGTGGGTATAAAGTCCAGAATTGGACACTTTTTGAAATATCGAGGACGGAAGTTTTCGGAAGATGAGGACAATCCTTGGAACTGTCGAATATTTAAATGATCTTCCCCTCTCTTAACACGACAGAGACTTAGCACTATTGCAGGCGTTTGAGGTGGCTCAATTCGAATTCAACTCAGGTTGAGGCCAAGGATATTTGAAGGTAAAATCAAAGGTAAAATCCCATAAGCAAATAGAAATATACTCACTATACTGAATGTGAATCTGGCGTGATTTTCATTCGGTTAGAGTTTCTTCGCACGTTTCATTTGTTTTGCAAGTGTGCTGAGACTATTCCTCCCAATAGGCAAATCGAGTATTGTTCAAACTATTAGTTTTTATCATTACGTCATGTACATAGAGCTTCTATTATAAGTTTTAGAAGAAGGAGTGATGTTTTCATGGAGTGTTTTATATAAAATGATTAAATATCAATGAAAAAGGTTATTTTGAATCACTTTTATTCCAGATAGAAACTTAATGTACTAAGGATACGTTGCTTTTCATATTCAGGAAATTACTTTAAATAAACTCAGGATTGCATAGTTATACCAAGCTGTTGGGAAGTTAACTTGAAAATAAAGTAAAAGAATTTGAATCACTCAATTATCTCCACTTTCAGTGAAAGTATTTTGAAACGGATATTTTGTTATGAGGATATTTTTCGAATGAATTTTTTGTTATGATCGGATAATAGTATGACAAAAATATTTTTTTCCAATAATGGATAAGTCAAATCTAAAAAACATATATTTCATGATATCTTTGAACTCCTCTTTGAGAAAATATGAGATATTATAGATATATAATATTTAGTGATATAATTTTGAGTCTAATCAGTATATCATCATATGATCAACCTGATTAGAAATATTAAAAAAAAAATCTTACAAATTATTTAACCCCGTAGGTTCCTTCGCCATCAATAATAACGAAAATTTTTTTGCTTACGAAACGATAGAATACATATCAATAATTTATTACATTTCATCAAGTAACATCATTACATTTGTAGCGGGTCGATAAAATTATTAGATTAATGTATCCTATAAAAATATTCGAATGATGACAACACACCACACAATTGAAGATTGTGCCGTTGATAATGCGAATTTGTATGGCGACAAGAGAGATCAATAAAATGAAAATATGTATATTGAACATATCCAGTGTAGGATTAAAAAGATGATGATTCTTTCAAATTGGTATGTAGAAACTCTTATAGGGAATAGAAAAAATATTTCTCCCACCCAGTGCCATGGAAAACGTTGGTCTAAAGTATAAATTTTATTCAGGGCTTTTTGAAATACCAAATGAACAAACGACATAATTGACGGTACGTTGTTTTTTTCTGTGAATAAATTCAACAAAAGGTACCTTGTTTCTTGTGATTCATAGTGCTGTGTATGAACAAAATTTAAAATACCTACATCATTATAAATTCAAAAGGAAATATGATAATCAGCAGTCATATGCATTGAAGAAGTCTTGTAAACGAAAGTTAAATAAAAAAAATATTGGGATATTAGGATACCTTACACAGTTCGGTCCAAAGGCACGAAATTTACAAAAAAAAAACAAAATCAGTCAAGCCTCATTTACGATGCAGCATTATTTGACATACTTCAGTCTCCACTGAGTGTCAGATTTCAATTAGATTTAAATTCAAATTTTCCAACTAGTTATTTATTTATGAATATTAATTTTTCCTTTTTTAATTATCAAGAAAATCCAATGCAATGTTTGAGAATCGAATCACATATTGTTATGATTTGTTATGTAATTTTATACCGATTGTTTTTCGGAGATATCTTCACTGTTGAATGAGATGAAAATTTTAAAATATCATTTAATAAAAATATGTCATCGAACAAAAAAAATTGTGAAAATAAAAACGAATTGAATATTTAAAATCGAAGTAGTTTTCGGAATCACGTACCTCAACGCCTATGAAAAATGCTCGTTCATCATTGAGTTTTTTTGGTAATTAAATCGAGCAGTCCACTGGAATGTAACATCTATTCACGCAAATTTCTCACTTCTGCCAAGTTGTCTGCCATTAATATTTTCCACACTTCAACAGCAGGAAATAAATGTGCACCTGTTGCTCTACATAAAGTTCTATGTAAATTGATAAAACTTCAGCCATAATTTTATTATAGATATCTGAGATATATTTTTTTAAGTTTTCGATTCTATTACATCTTCTTCCTCTTCTCATATTTATAACAATTTTTACCACCCATGAACATAATTTCACGACAATCTGAAAATGTATTCAGAACATCTTGGAATGAAATCAGTTTCTTGGCATTTTCTTGGAAGAAAAGTTGAAACATTTTTCCTCTACAAATTATTCATTCAGGAGCGTTGATGAAATCAGAAAACCAGACAGGCAACTTGATCAGGTTTTCATATTTCCATGGCTTTTTCAACACTATAAATATTATTCCTGTTAATTTACAATGAATAAAATAAATCACTTTTACTGAAATGTATTTTTACATTCCAGTATAACAAGCGTAACATGTAGAATGTATGAAATGTACATGATAAGTAGATTGCAGATAGATACATTCGTAGTCATATGGTTTCACGTAGTATTTTAATTAAAAATAATGTAAAATTCTGGTCCTATAACAGTTAATCTAAAATGTTTTTCTTTATTTATTTATTTATCATGAAAAATGGAAAATGAAACTTTTGATGTTTTTTTACACTTATCACTTTTATTTATAAATAATGTTACAGCAGTTTCGTTCTATTTTCATTTTCGAACAATTTCAATAATTGTGATTGTTTGAAAATGTCGTTATAGGACGAAATTGTAGTAACATTAGTTACAAATAAAAGTGGTATAAAAATTATAAAAAATATAAAAAGTTTTATTCGTCCGTTTTTGTTCAAGCAATAATAATAATTGTGATTGTTTGAAAATGTCTTTATAGGACGAAATTGCAGTAACATTAGTTACTAATAAGAGTGGTATAAAAAAATATAAAAAGTTTTATTTCTCATTTTTCATGATGATCTCCTACCACGTAGTAACGGCTACATCAGTTAATTGATTCATTTATTTATTCATTCGATTCGGGATCAAACAGTGTCCTCCAAAGAATACAGAGATTCCACTAGAGAATACACTACCTAAAAACCCAAAAACTCCAAAGAATAGGTACAAAGATTCCATTAACAATAAAAAAAACACTATCCAAGAAACATGATGAGGTGGTAACTAACACTAATTCACAGTATAACAATATTTCTCAAAAATATCTTGTATCTGTAGAGTAGGGAGGGTAAGTGTAGACCCACAGCACTTAGGCCACATGTGACCCATTGTACATCCTCCCGAGGAGTTGTACATCCTGTTCTTTTGAGGAAGGTTTACAGGTCACTAGGAGACATCTCCTTTATATTGGCAGGTGTAGGCCAAGACTCGCCGAACACACACTCTCTTAGGCAACATTGACGTGTCTCACGGTGGCTTCCGCGAAGGTTTTGGAAGGTGCAGCGACATTACTGTCTTTGCGCGGCTTCCTCAACCTTCTTGGGGTTCCCTCCGTGGAGGTGCACAAGTAAGGGAGCCTTCCTGCAGAGACAGCCGATTCCTTGCTTTCATTCAAGGCTGAGCCGCAGGAAGTGCCCTTGCTGTTGGGAGTAGAGTGGGGGAGGAGGAGGGTGCACTTATAATTGCTGCCACTCCTGCCTCCTTTGCTCTCTTTCTCCTTTTGGCCGTGACGCCGCAAATACGCTTACGCCTCTTTGTATTACATCACGAGGTGATCTGCTATGTCCAGCCTCATTCCAAGCGTTAGGTTGGACATTTCTATTCATCCCCAGCCACAGCCTTAGATTGAGGTGAGCACTTCTGTCCAGCCTCGAGATTGGTTTTTGTTTTTGTTGTTTCTGCTTTTGTGTTTGTTTCATTCACGTGTGTTCCCACGAGTAGCAAGGGAAGAGTTGGTCACCTCTGGCAGAGCCCCGCATTACCAGAGGTAGTCCGGCCGTACACGGACCACATATTTGCAGTTGAGGCAACCACAACATTGTGGTAACGTTGACTGCACTTCGCGGTTGACCCAACCACATTTTCGTGGTCGACTTGCGGTCATAGAAACCGTACTTGCAGTTGAGGCAACTGACATAAAAAATTGAATGCTGTGAGACCAATATGAGAAAAAGTACACCACGGTGTACGCGGTTGGTTACGACTGCAAGTTTGTGGTTAGTGTACGGCGGATGTCGCGATGACATCTCGGCGGAGATCAGCACCAAGTTGACTGCAGACGTCCGTTTTGACTTTTGTGAACGCCCGTGTACGTGTAGTACAGTATTTCATATGGGCGGCTTGAGTTCGCTTGAACGCGACTGCAATTGTGTAGTCGATCCGACCGCAAAATGTGGCTTGTGTATGGGCGCTCGTAGGCTGATTACAATGAGGTTTTGCCCATTTCCCCAAGGGGATCGTTCGTAACCGCATATCACCCTGCGGCCATTCAGCTGTCGGCACGACCTTACACCTTAGCTTGGGTAGGCTGGTCCACGGTGTCATGTCTTGCAAATACTTCTTGGGAGTTTTAGTTCCCCTCACCCTACTTATTTCTGCCACTGACCAGGAGTCCGGCGATCCCGTCCGGCCCTGCCCGGGAAGCCACATTGGCTTCCCGGGCAGGGCCTCCAGTCCCCTGGCCGTTCCCCTATCCGCCACTTGAGGACGCGCCCGATAGGTAGCCCAACCCACGGGTTTCTCAAATATATCTTTCAATATAAATCTATATAAATGTAAAACAAACACTTATGATTATCATGTGTTTGCAACCTTATACATTAGAACTCAACAGAAAATAATTCAACATGAAAAAAATATTTCGTAATTCATCACATCCATCAAGACCAAATCTATACTTATAAATCCGAAATTCACTCATTAACACTCATTTATCTGTTTCTCCGTAGTGGTAAGTCCTAGGAAGCTAAAATTTGGTATATATGTGCTGCTTAGTTCTTAGATGCGCACTAATAAAGGATTTTCAAATATTCCAACAGGGAAGCCCCCAATGGGGGTAAAAGGGGAGTGTTTGCATATGAAAATTATCGTTTCACTGTTTCTCCGTACTGCTACATTTTCGGAGGCTAAAATTTTGTATTTAGGTTTTTTTTATGTGTAGATGTGCAATAAAAATAATTTTTGAATATTCCATTTGGGGCGCCAGCCGCGAAGAAAAATGAAAATGAATTTATATTTAGTATCATCAGCATTGCACCCATGCGGAGCCGGGGGAGGGTCGCTAGTAGTAAAATAAACACAAAAAAATATATTCTGATGATGAAACCTTTGAGATCACTGTTCATTCAAATTTGAGAGTTGAAATGGATCATTACATTATGAATTCACCTGCATAGGTTACTAAATAATAATTTATTCACACTGTATCCAGATCAATCACTCTTTCGAAATTTACATATTCTATTGAATATTGCAAACATTTAACTTTTTGATGATATCTTTTTATTTTATTATTTTCGTTTATAGAATAATTTCGAAATGTAACTTTTGGATTAACTCCAACATCCTGTAGGTATTGTAAATTGAACTAAATCTGTTTTTTTTCCATCACCTCAGAGAATTCAGATTTTGAAAGTCAAAGAGAATAACATGAATAATGAAACTTTCCACTGAGTAGATTGGTTGAGTGGGTATCAGTACTTCAAAGTATATCATACTTAATAACTATTATTAATATTCCTAACCATTCAAGGTGTTTATGTTCGAAAACAACCATTTGATTTGGTGTGAAATTCTTTAAAATTCAAAATTATAAACACGGATTACGAATTTTTACGAATCTTTATTTTACTTACCCCCGATTATAGAATTACATACAATCTTGATTGATGGCGAATTTGAACTTCGTGTCATCTGAAAATCTTAAAACCTTTTATATCAAAAAAACTAAAACCTTCCACCTTAAAGAGAAAATCACATAAACTTCATGAGTTTACAGTGTCTATACGGTGGGGCCAGTTCGACAGTGTCTTGAGAAGAGAACAGGTGCATATCTCCATGTTCAACCACAAAAACTACTGAAAAATGATTTTTCAAAAAAAAATCGTTATTTTGAAGTAAACAGTCTTGAAATTGAATTGTCAATTTTCAATATGCTGAATTGACAACAGTGCGAATAGTACTGGTCAATTAATTAGACACTTTCAACTACCAGCGTGATTGCAAGGTGGAAATTATTCAAATTTTTAAGGGTAAATTCTCGCAGAGTTGCTATTTAAAGAGCCTTAGGTAAGCTAGCTTGTGTTCCTCGACTTGTATATTTGCTATGAAAGTGCATCAAAAACGACATAAAAAATAGTTATAGAGTTCAACTGAATCGAGTCTCAAATCACACTTTGTTGAAGAAGCGTTCTAAATTCAGTTAAACATGAAAGTATTTGCATTACATGAAGAAAACTCATTCAGTTGCATTCGAAATGATTTTGGTGTTGCATTTGCATCTCAATGTCTTTTTACCTAGTCGGTTTTAAATCATAATTGTTTTAACAATCTATACAATTGTCCTATTTGAAAATACTAATATTTATTGATGATCGAACTATAACGGCGCTGTACCATTCTCGTGCTCATCTACTGCAAGAATCCGGTTTGTGACGTTGCCAAGTGTAGAAATAAAACGTACTCAGCGGTGGTTTCGTAACTTTCTCTTTTTTTCTAAACTTTTAGCGAATAGATCACCATTTCGATACTATACGATACTGTTGAATGCCTTACTGGAGTTGTTAGTCATATTAATAACGCTCATGGCAGTTTTTTACCAAATCTGTTTTTCTGTTTATCAGCTGTCGCCCCCATATGAATGACAACTCTCAAAAGTTGAGAAACTTGTGCGAGTTCAGGACTAACGAGGTCTTACCTTTTAACGTGTGATTCCTAACATGAAGTTGAATATGATGAGTAGGAAAGCATAAAGTATCGATGCAAATATCAGCCTCTGTGAAAAATATTTGATTTTTTCTGTTTTTCCTCTAAACTGATCATAGAATGTCTGTTAAATAAGTTCATTACCAATGAAAGACTCACTTATATTTTTCAACAATATCGGTAGATGATATGAAGGTGTGTTTTGGATAAAAAAGTTCAGCATGAGTTTCATTACCAACAAAAGAATTCCTTATTGTCTCACATCTGAGGTCATAATTGTAAAAAATACCACTACAACTCAAAACATTTGTTGTAAAAACAATAGGGTGCGATACATTCATTCTCACATTTTCTTCAAAATATAAAAACGAATATGATTTTTTCACTTCATTTGATCATGATGTTTTGGGTTTGAAAGTCGTTGACAATGTTTCATGGTGAAGTTCATCAGTTCGGACCGTCATTATGTATTATGATCCTATGATTCGAATTCTATAAAAAACAAATAAAACCAGAATAAATACCTAAAATATTGATTATATTAAGCAATATAACCTGAAATGAAAATATTTCATTTCAAAATAATTTACTTGTTCTTTCATAGATTTCGAATTATATTACCTATATCATATTAGACAATGAAAGTCCGAACTAATTAAATTTATTATGTTTGAAATTCACTAAATGAATAAAACAGTATAGAAATAAAATTGCCATGCACTCCTGGAAATATTCATACATCTGACAACGTTATAAAGCGGGTCCCTCTCCAATGGCGGCTTGCGCGTTTTCACAGAAATGATTCATTCCGGCAGTTGTTTAGTGTCTGTAAGGTGTGTTGTGCGCTGTTTCTTTAATTTCTCGTAGTGTTTGTAAACAACTTATGACAAGGAAACGTGTTTTTGCACACCATTCAATCAAGAAAATGGATGTCATCACCAAGTCACCGGTATAAAGAGTGTTCAACAGTACTAAGTCCTAGTGACTTGTTTTGTTTTTGTACTTTGTTTGAACAGTGCTAGTGTCTTTTCTGTCAGAGTTCTTTTGTTTTCATTTTGTGATTATCCTGCACCTTTTTGTTTTTTTTGATAACTGAACCAACCAAGTAGCAGCTTTTTCGAAGTTGAACAGGTAACATAACCTATTTTTTTTGTGATGACAAGTATAGAAGCAAGTTACGACCCCAAACCATAATAACCATTTGTATTTGGACTTTTTTTTCGAATAGGAATGTCACTATTTGTAGATTTATTTGTTGCGATGTTTAAAAAATATATGTCAAACAGATGTACTTACATAAAGTTCTAAGATTGAATAAGTAGGTAGGTACATAAGAATGTATATTGCTTTTTCTGTCATTTTTTGGGACAGTTCACCTTGTTGATTTAAAAAACCTGTTATTGCTCAAGTTACAGGTTTCACGGTAATGCTGAACTAGCCGCCACCTTCAGTAAACAAACGGCATTCTATACTCCTTCAGAATTAACTAACTGTACTGCAATCTGAAAGGAAGAAGAAAGTTCAATGATTTCACCACCTACCTGCTTTTTGGATTTTTTATAACTGGTCATCTACCTTTTTCAGGTGGTGGCAATTTCGTATAACCTCAAACCTGTTAAGTAATTATTATTGGTGTAATAATATAAAAGCATATCTTATCTCACCGACCGATAATAATCAGTGAGGAATGTTTAAAAGTACTTGATTCACACCTCCGGTTATTACCCACCACCGGATGTCAATATTCGTTAACTTGAAATAATTTCATACCCATTAGAGATCCAGGGAGATATTCTCGTAGATGTTGATTGCTGAAAAATTAAGGAACATTAGAAATCAGTATGTATTCAATTGTTCCCAAGGACATAGCCCAACGGTCGATTTATCAGATGCATGTGTATAACTTAATCAATGGATACTTAATGCATATTTTTATGAAAACTTCCACTTCTAGTTTTTTATGAATTCTGTCTTTATGAAATAAAAATGAGATAAAAACGTTACAATTTTCAACTAGGGTATAGGCATAAAATTTTCCTTCATTAAACATTTGCATTATGAAAAAATGAAGAGAACAGATCAAAGTTGAAATCATATAAGTATAAATGGTTAATAATAACATTAGCGATGTAAATTAATTTTATGTTTGTATTTTCCATTTCTCATCATATGTCACTACTTGATTACATAATTCATTATCATCAAATTTCTTCAAGTATAGGTAGAATTCATTCCTACCTATCATTGAAGTACACAGGACCAGTGAATTACCAATGTTAAAAATATTCATAGGCAATACCTATCTCAAGTACCTACACGCGTTTTTTCACCTGAAACTGAATAATTTCTTGAAAAAAATATTTACTTAAATATCGTGAAATTTATTGGTGTTTTCATCTTGTGTTTCTGTTCGTGACACGGACCTGCAAAAAATTTAGTAATTACTCGTGGGAATGAAATTTGTCCAGGCGAGCATCGTGTCGTGTCACTCGAGCGAGTAATGACTATTTCTCGCGAGCGGAATACTATACTTTCTCTCTGACTTATATCAGAAACTTCTATAATGTGATTCATTCGTGAAGGATATGCCGAATGAGAGCTATATTATTGAATTTCATAACAAGAAGCAACCTAAAAGAAGCATTTAAAAATCCTTTTTTTTATTTTATTTTATTTCGTATAGTTTGAAAATTGACTGGTCAAAAACAATAAAACACATGCCGTCAGTGTAATTTGAATAATTGCTGGTTTACAAGTCTCGAGTTCTACCAATGGCTCTATATATTTTAAAAGAAACTGCCAGTTCCATGATCAAATTTGACGTTTAGGCACATATTTTGAAGTAGATAGGTGAATCACCAAGGCTTGATTGCAAAAGGAAACAATTCAAACAACTGTAAAATAATGAATTTTCTTATCTGTGGTGTGAGTTATTGGTCATTACCTACTCACCCAAAAATAATCGGTCACTTAATTGACACTTTTTCCAATAGTCATCAAGAACAAATACTCACATGTTCTGTAACTGCAAATAAATGTCCTGATATCAGTCTATGTATGAAATTTAGAAATTTGTTGTTTATGTATTTTCAGTACTTCAATTTCCTATCCTAAGCAAATATGTATCCGGAATACGATTCATTGAATTGGAGAAATCACCAGCAATTGCGATTCAATTAGGTATACACAGCTGTGAATTCAAAATAGTCATTGAACCACGAGATATCGTAATTACTAACACAACTTCGCTTTTGCTTTGTCAGCTGTCACTGATTGATGTATTCATGCCAATTTCGAAAAGAAATTCAATGTGAAAATAATATCAATTAATCATCAAAAATCAATGGTAAAGGCACCGGTTTGAAAATTATCAAAATATTGTGAAATACATTTGTAGTATTTTCTTATAGTATATTCACAATTGCCATTTCGCAACTTTTGAGCTCGTTTTTATAAAAAAATTATGTGCCATTCGCGAGTTCATTCGATTCTTAACGAGATTCTTAATTTCACCAAGAGTAATTTACGGCTTGAACCAAGTTCCGCAAATTGATAGTTAAAAAGTTATAAACAATCGAGAAAAGAAAAACCACAAAATTTCTTACCACCTTTCGGAACTGAAAATGACTGGTTGGGTTCTTGCAATGCGTCGGGCACAGCAAAAAAATCCATCAATCATGAATATCAAGGGAAAAAAAATTATACTTGAGAAATATATTTGAATAAACTGTAAGCCTTTCTCGAGGCTGTTGTCAAAAATATATGTACACACTTACTTTTGTTAATTTACAATGTTTTAGCAATGACATTTTTTTTAAATTCAAGCCTGGAATTTCTCCAAGTTATTCTCTCAAGCGAGCTGTCAAGCCTTTAATAAAATTAAATACCTAATCTTAATTTTCTTATTTTTTTAGAAACAATCAAAAATGTTAACGAGTGAAAAGCACATATACTTGAAACATTTTTTTTCAAATATCTCGATTGTTTTTTTGCCATTAATGAAAGCTACTGAATGAAATGTTTTTGAATTTTTCGTTCGTATTGTTTTAAGAAATGGTATGAACGAATGCTTGCATTGTTTAGTTTTTTTCGATTTTTTCTAAACTTCTAATTACTTATCTATGCAAATAGTTGATTAAAAAAATTATTTCCTTAAGAAAGTTTACCTTTTGCAAAAAAACGCAAAGAACAATTATTTTTTTAAATAATTTTCGGTTCCTGCTTATTCTAAAAAAAATAAGTTTATTGAGTATTTGTTAATTTGATGAACAATTCATTATGAACGAATAATTTCTCATTTTATTCTTATAGTAGAAAAATTAATAAAAGTATCCATGTGAAATTTATTTTCAGGTCCCATCGAGGGTCACACTTTAGGGTAATTTTCCCAATTTTTCTTTCATTCTTCATATCGTTAGGTTCTGCTGTCTCAACAATTGAATTAACACAACTCATGATTGAAATACAACACGTGAAATTTTGGCGATAGAGAGGAATAGGATATAACATTAATTTTTAAATCATGTGGTTGGCTGAATTAACAGCATTCATCACAATTTTGTATAAGCACTATCTGCATCTGCACTATCCTGTGGGGCAATTATTTGGTATTCGTTGAGAGCAAAAATAAGTGCTGGAGCTGTGGCGTATTTGTATTTAGGGCGGGTTCAAGGGGGTCGCCACCTCGATATGTTAAGAGATATTATGATATATTCTATCGGCGTTACAGAAAAAAAGTTCAAAAAGCATTGTTTCGATCTTTATCAAAATTCATCCGTGATAAGGCAGAAAAGGAGCATCAAATGAATCTAATATTATAGCATTGTAGAACTTTTAAATAACGCATTATCAAATTGATCATCCTAACTCAATATGTTATCATTCTATGGTTATAAATGTATTGACAAATGAATTATATTGTACTGAACGAAATGGATAGTATACATGTATCAACTCCTCATTTGAAAGACACATAATTGAAGCACTAGACAGCCGTATTGATCACCAAAGGTTATTTGGTAGGGAAAACTGATTACCATTAAAATTACGATCAAGTTAATCCCAAACGATGCCGATAATGAAAAGCTCATACTCATCTTTAATAGAATATGTATGAGCGTTAACACTCCAGTCCAGTCACGATCAATCAAATAGTATGTCATTTTAATCAATGTGATAACTGTCTTTCTAATACGGAAGCGCAGAAGAGTCACTTACTTTTATGTTTTGTTTTTTGGAAATTTCAAACTCTAAATTACGACTTTGAACTCGAAAATTCGATATTAAAGTCGAAATTTCGAGTTTAGAATCGAAATTTCGAGTTTAAAATCGAAATTTCTAGTTGAAAGTCGAAAAATTGAGATTTTTCGATGTCGAAGCTTGATTTTGCAGACCGTCTTGGAGAGCCTCGTTCATCTTTGATATTCGACTTCAAACTCAAAATTTCAATTTTAAACTCGAAATTTGGACTTCGAACTCGAAATTACGACTTTAATCTCGAAATTATAACTTCAAACTGAAAATTACAACTTTAATTTTGAAATTTTGACTTAATTTTCGAAATTTCGACTTCGATCTAGAAATTTCGACATAAAATTCGAAAGCTTGACTTTACAACTGACTGCCTTGGGAAGCCTCGTTCATATTCAACTTCAAACTTTGAACTCGAAAATTCTAGATAAAAGCCAAAAATTCTAAAGTGGAAATTTCGAGTTTAGAATCGAAATTTCGAGTTTAAAATCGAAATGTCTTCTTCAAAGTCGAAATTCCGAAATTTTGCAACTGACCGCCTTGGGGAGCCTTGTTCATTTTTGATATTCGACTTCAAACTCGAAATTTTGATTCTAAACACGATATTACGACTTTCAATTACGGGTTTGAACTCGAAAATTCGTCTTTGCGTTCGAAATTTCGACTTAAAACTCGAAATTACGACTCTAAACTCGAAATTAAAGTCAAAAATTTGAGGTATAAGTCGAAATTTCGATATTGAAGTCGAAATTTGCAGATTGAAGTCGAAACTTCGAGTTTTGTAGTAGTAATTTCCAAGAAACAAATAATAAAAATATGTGGCCCTTCTGTACTTTCGTTATTATATCTAGTATGGATCAAAACAAATTCTACAATACTTTTCATTTGAATCAGTTCTTGATGTTTTACTTTTTGAACCCCTATAACTTAATTAGATGATCATCAAGTAAATAGACGCATAACCACAAACTTGATTATTTCCTTCTAGTCATATTGTTATCATTGAGGTGTTCTATGTGGATTCAACTCATCAAAACTGTCTTGGCATATTTTGTAATAGCATTCGACAAATAACAACATTCAGGATTATCAGAAACTTGGCCAAGTTCCAATTCAGAAAGAACCATATGTCAATTATAGGTTCATTATTAATAGTTGGGAATGTGAAAGTGAAATGCTGAAATATTGATGTTACCTACTGACGTGAAATCTAGCCTCTGTTGAAACTATTTACAAAGCCGATTTTCTTATAATAAAAACTCAAATGAGGTTGATTATTTCTATTGGTTTGTTGATAGGTGTCATATGAATTTAATTCTCCAATAAAGTAAAAGAAGTAGTTTCAAAAATATTTCATAATAACTTCTGGTGTA